TGTTCGGCCGCCGCGCCTGGAGCGCTGCTGGAAAAGGCCACCCACTGAAGCGTAGCCAGGACGGGACGCAGACGCCACGAGTGGCCGCGAGGCCCGGGAAGGGCTCCGGCGGTTCTGCCGCCACGGTGCACCATTCGCAAGCATGCACAGATGCCTGAGATCACCAGCTCCGAGGCAAATGGTCTGATACTTACTACACAAGGAACTTCACCACAGTTCAGTGATCCTGCAGGAACATCAGCCATTTGCTGTGCAGCTTTGCAGATTCAAAGGCAAAAGGATGCTGAGGAATGGAAGCGGCACCTGTCTGCAGCTGCTCAAATGAAATGCGTCTCTTCCCAGCCATCTCTTGTAGCAGCCGTGTGATCCCAGGGAAAGATGTGGTTGTGCTAAAGAGTTGCAGACGGGTGTTACTAAAGTGTGGCAAAGCTCTCTTAGTTTATTTGGGGGATGGGATTGCTGGATGGCGTTCTGAGGTGTTGTAGGCACCAGGTGGTCATTTCTGGCCTGCTCTAATAATAAGCAAACACGGGAGCGATAAGGAGAAAGGTAGAGACCTCTTGCTCTTCCACAATGCAGTGGCGGGGCCGTATCTGGAGAAGAAAAGCAACAGGCGACCCCTGCTGGAGAATCCAGTAAGCTGCAGGAGAGCTCACCATCTAGACCAGCTCTAAGGTCAAGGCAAGAAATTTGCAAGTTAGAGCATCTCCATCTAGGAAGTCAAGCCCTTTGTGCTGGCAAACTCAAGAAACAACCACTTGGATTCTTGAAATGACCTTTATTGCTAGTAGGGTAATATAACAGAACCTTGAAATTCTCCAGATCCACTTATACCTGCCATAATTGAGGTGGAGTTCCTCTGAGTCTTTCTCGTGATTCTTCCCTCCCCTGGACTAAGGAATCTTTTCTGTAATGGCCCAGCTTCCTTTTCCATGCTCCCAGGGTCCATCCCGTCTAGCTTCTGCTTAAGATCTCCAAGGAAGAAAAATTCATTTTCTTATCATCCCTTTAAGGAATCAGTTCCATTGACACGTCACTCCTGTCACCGAAGAATTCCCCCTCATGCACCCTGTTCAGTCCCCTCCCCTGCTTCTTGCTTCACGCAATAGTCTAGATCAAGGTTTCTTAAGCTTTTGCTTGCAGGACCCCTTCCCACTGTTAAAAATTATGGAGGACCCCAAAAGAGCTTTTGTTTGAATGGGTTATATTTATCAATATTTACTGTACTAAAAATTAAAATTGATGCATTCATAGAATATTGTTTGATTGACTGAATCATGGAAAAATAACAATATTAAACCCATTAGGTATTAACATAAATAAAATATTTGTCATGAAAAAAACCTATTTTTAAAAAAACATAAAAATAATGAGAAAAGTGACATCGTTTTAAACTTTTGCAAATATCCTTGATATCTGGCAAATAATTTTGATTTCATGGGCCCCTGAGCGGATTCCTATTCAGTTTGCGATTAGCTATATATCTCCTCATTTTATCTTATTTGCTACCTTGGGGCACACCTTTACATTGACCTCTTGAATGTCATGTTTTGCTGACAGCTATTTTGTTCCTGTCTTTTGAGGAGCCGGCTTTCCCTTTCGTGTTTGTGTCATTTCCTGGTCTGAGAAAAGGTTTCTTCCATTCCTTCGACCCAGTTGAGATGAATAACCTTTTTCATAGCCAGGGATCAGGCGACATTTCCCAAAAGCCGGCTCCGCAAAAGGCAGGAATAAAATAATTGTCAGCAAAAAGGTGACATTCAAGAGATCAATGTAAAGGTGTGCCCCAAGGTAACAAATAAGGTAAAATGATAA